TCTGTCTGTCTGTCTGTCTGTCTGTCTGTCTGTCTGTCTGTATCTCTCTCTGTTAGTCTCTGTCTCTCTGTCAATATATATCTCTAATATATAAATATATGTATGCCCCTTTCTCTCCCCACCCCCCCTCCTCTCTCTCTCTCTCTCGCCAACCCCCTCCCATTTTCTATCCCATTTTCCTCTCCTTCTCCTCTCTTTTAAAATCCAGGATTGTACGTCAGTGCCATATAAAATATCTGTTTTGCACTGTTTTTTATGTTTGTTTATCATCATTGCAACTGCTGCTGCACCATTAAACGATACTTAATTAGTTTTGCATTATTCTTAAAAAGAATCATTTCCCCGCCCTTTTCGGTCATGTCTCGGAAATTAGTTTGCTGCGTTGGAGCGATGGTGTGATAAGGTAAACCAATCCCCTCTCGTGTTAGAGGAAGGATGAAATCAAGCAACCATTTCAGGTTATACATTGAAGCTATTAATCCCTAAATTACAGGGAGGTGTAAATTGGGCTAGTTTTTCATGATGGTTATAGTTCATGTTTCTTTACCGTCTCCGCCCATCCTCCCCCCCCCTTCCCTTCCAACTCGGTATGACTCAGATCGACTCTGAGTGACTGTCTGCCTATTTTATATTGTTTGTTTATCTGTCTTCACCCCATACTCTGTCTGTCTGTCTGTCTGTCTGTCTGTCTGTCTGTCTGTCTGTCTGTCTGTCTGTCTGTCTGTCTGTCTGTCTGTCTGTCTGTCTGTCTTATCACTATGCCTCCCAAAGTCCTACTTCAACTGTAATGTCTCTTTTTCGTTCCCTCTTCATCATTTTCTCCCCACCTTCTGCCCCATTCTCTTTTTTTCTTTCTGAATGCTGTCTAATTTTTCCACTTTTGGCAAACTCTTACTAAAACACTCATGGTGAAAAAAGTGAACTGGGTGGAGGTTGTGATTGGGGAATCGGAACATTAGCCAAGGAACGAAAAGACCAGGCGAGTAAAGTTATACGATAAAGCATCATAAAGATAAGAACTTGATACACTTTGGGACAGGTACATCAAATAGAGAGGTCAAGGCTGCTTTGAAAGAAACGAAAACAAGGAGTAAAGAAATATCCCAATCAGTTTACATAATATTTGGTTGTTAACTCTTGAAATAATCAAACGATTTACGTGTCTTGGTCAGTTATAATCAAAGGCATTTACTTATTTGGAAAAGACGATCAGGCCTGTATATCAGACTTCTTGATGAGCATGAGGCTTTCTATCTTTTGGAAAAGAGCCTGATCTTTGATAGCGTATAAAATACCTACCTCACCTCGCGGAGGATATACCCGTACCCATCAGCCATCTTTGATTTACGGTTGGTTACGTAAAGAGCCTATTGAACTAGTTTATTGAGGTCTTTACGCAACAGGTGAAATCAAAAGAAAACATCCGTGGAATTTAGGCCTACCTGGCCACCAAGTTTCATGAAGAGAGGCAAGAGAAACATTTTGAACAAAAATTCACTTGCTTTAGAAATTGTAAACTCATTACTTCTGTAGAAGAAAACGAAAATATTGTGTTC